TTTCCATATACATTTTCCTTTATCCTTAATAAAACCACACTTTTATGTTTTCTTATGGAAAACTTTTAAGATTAAAAAAAAAACTTATTCATGCATATGGAACTGGGGTACAGGCCGGAGGCGCAGGGGCGGCGAGAGGCTTCCCCAGAGACAGAGTGGGGAGCAGAACAGGCAGATCGACGAAGTCCACTGCTGAGGGGAGCAGCGGGCAGGCGGGAGAGGTCTGCGGCGCCCTGTGAGTCAGCTTGTGGGCTGCGGGGATTGAACCTGCCCCAAAGTGAAGCTCACGGTTTGGCTTGGCTTCGCCGTACTGCGCCACCAGACAGCGGCCGGAAAATGTTTTTATCCGAAGATGTTTTCTCATTATTTTCATTAACTGTGCATTAGACTTGCAGATGCCCAGGAAGCTGCGTTTTGCAGTGGTTTATTTTCATTTGCAGATTTTGGCTCTTTCTTTGAGGTGTAGCCTGCGGGGTAATTTGAGGAGCAGGGAGCTGGAGATGGGGGGCCGGGACAGCCCAGGTAGGGAGGCTGCAGCCGGGAGGCAGAGGCAAAGGCGGGAGAAAGCGGTGTGTGTTATCCAGACTTGAGGCCCACAGCTTCATTTCCAGAAGGATCGCTTTCCCTGGCCCAAAGGCCGCTGGGCACTGAGGACAAAGATACGGCCCTGGCCGCGGCTCGGGTTCCACGCCGGGGCCCAGGTTTCCCTGCAGCCTGCTCAGCCCCAGCGTGCGTTTTCTTGGGAAGGCTGGGTTCCACAGGGGCGCTGCGGGCTGCCGCGGGCTCCGGGATCCCGGAGACCTCACGAAACGCGGTGGCCCTGACGGAGCAGGGGCGAGGGCACAGGGTCCGCCGGTTCTCCCCTGGCTGCTCTGGCGGGTGGAGCCGCACGGCCGAAGGCTGCCGGAAGGTTCCGCGAGCCGTCGCCCACGGCCAACCTCCGCTGTTGGAGTCTACCCAGCGGAGTCCGTGGTCATCTTGAGTGGTTTTTGTCCGGAGATCAAGCCAAGCATGCCGTTGCGTGGACGTGGTTTTCTCCCACTTACTCCTCTGTTTTGCATCTTACGCCTTTTTGCCCTGTTTGCATTCTTCTCTCAGGCGGAGCTTTGCAAAATAATCAGATTCCGCAGGGGGGGTGGGCGCTGGAAGGGGAAGAAGGAGCCCGGAGGGGAGTGGCGAGGAGGGGAGGGGCAGAGAGCAGGACAAAAGAGGGGGAGGGGAGGGGGGCAACGGGCGGGCGCAGTCCTGGCCACCCGCGGGTTGGCGCCTGTTTGGAAGCCGAAGGCACCTAGCAGAGTGGATGGGCCGGGAGCACCGAGAGCGAGGGGTGCGCGTTCTGAGACGGGCTCGCCTCTAAGGCCAGCGCCAGCGTGCGCAGGGCCCTTTTCCCGGCGGGAACCCGCCCCCCACCCCCGAATCCGCGGAAGGAGTTTCCACATGTTGCCCAAACCGTGGGGTCCAGCTGGCCCCTGGAGGCACCGGGGGAGCGGAGCGGGCTGGGGCCTCGTGGGCATCCTTGTCGCCCTTCCCTGGACCTGACCTCCAGCGGCTCTATCGGGGTGCCTGGGAGAAGGTGGGTGTCGGCGCCTGAGATCTGGCAAGGCTGCCCAGCGATTGCGATTTGAAGGCCATGAAGTCGTCAGAGAGACTGGTTTTGGGGGTCCTCAAGGGCTGGAGGGGTGACACAGTCCTTGCAGGGCCTCATGGCCGCCGTTGCCCGCGAGACCCCCTGGCTGCGCCCCCTGCCCGCCGTAAGAGGGGCTGCTGCTCTGCCCGCAGTGCTGCGGGGCTCTTGCGCTGTGCGGTCGCCTCTGCTGCTCACAGCTCCGCGGCAAGTGGGCGCTGCGGGCTGCCGCGGGCTCCGGGACCCCGGAGACCCCACGAAACGCGGTGGCCCTGACGGAGCAGGGGCGAGGGCACAGGGTCCGCCGCTTCTCCCCTGGCTGCTCTGGCGGGTGGAGCCGCACGGCCGAAGGCTGCCGAAGGTTCCGCGTGTGTCGCCCACGGCCAAGGCCACGGTCCCTGCTGCCCGAGGCGGCTCTGCAGGGCAGGCAGCAGATCCAGGTTCCCTGCGGGCGCACCCGACTCCCCGACATCGGTGTCTGTGCGCCAGCGCAGGTGGGGACACCTCCTGTCCTGCTCTGGACGCGCAGGACACCCAAGGCTGCGGGAAGGCGGCTCGTGTGACCCGCCATCGCTGCCATTGTCGCTGTCGTGGTCTCCGACCCCCAGCTGTGTCTTGGTCTCCATCTCCGGCTCCATCTCTGGCTCCGGCTCGGGCTCCGGCTCCGGCTCCGGCTCCATCTCGGGGCTCCGGCCTCGCAGAGCCGCTCCTCCTCGCCTCAGGGTCCTGCCGCTCCGCTCCGGCTGTGGGACGAACCCCGCGGGCGTTTGGGGACGCGGGTTTGTGTTAAGACGTTTCAGACGGTCCGGACAGAAGCCGCAGGCTGTTCTGGTGGCTCCATTTTCAGCTTTCTGGAGGTAAATCCACTGGGTCCCCGCGACGCGCGAGCTCCGCGCCAGGGTGGGCTCACACGCCCCAGCCTCCCTTGACCTGCGTTGCTCCGGCTGCATCTCTCCGCCGTCGCTTCTCCACAGACCGGACTGGACGCCAGCGCGGCTGCTTCCTGGAGCTCATGGCGGCCAGCGGTGGCTTCTCTGAGCAGGGACGGGCGGATGCTGAGTGGTCTCTGGTGAGGGCGGTGCAGGGCTGAACAAAGGCACAAGCTCTAGCCCCAAGCCTTCTCTGCCTGCTGGGCGCGGCTTGTGCACTTTCAGGGAGGCGCCCGGGGCTGCGGCACTGCTTCCCAAGAGACAACAGCTCCGCTCTGGTCTGCTGAGGAGACTCTACCTGGCCTTCCTGGGGCCTGAACCCCTTTCCTCCTTTTGGAGCCTCTGAGGAAGTCCCACAGCTTAAAAGCTCGGTGATAAATCGGTCCCTTTGTGGTGGGAATAGCTCTGTGCGGTGAGACAGGCAGGTGGCACCCCTGGGGATGTCATGCCCTGGGGTGGGCTCCGGGACTGTGTCCCCGATATCTGCCAACTCCAGAGCAGGAGCTGGAGCTGGAGCTCTCTGCAGGGAAGCTGTGAGAGGCGAGCTCTAGTCCGAGTCAGGGCGTGCTGTCTGCATGGCGACTCGCGGTCCCTCACTGTCGGGGAAGCGGGGGCGGCTTGCGCGGGGCTCCCTGCCGGTGCTTTGGCCACCTGTGGGTTTCACTCCTAGTTCCCATGCCCAGCGGACAAGAGGTCCGCTCTGGGCTTCTCGAGAACAGTGTAGTTCCCGCTTTGGGGCAGCTGGCCCCGTTCTGAATTCAGGGGTCCTGCACCTCTACCCCTGACCCAGCCAAAGTTGAATCCTCAGCCCCTTGGGGGTGCGCCGTCAAGGTCCGGACGGCTGAAGACTTAGTCTCCGACACCAGCCGAAGTGCCGCTTGCCCTTTCTGCCCAGGGCGGGAAATGTTTGAAGTCCCTTCCCTAGGAGGCAGATTTCTGGGCAGGCTCCTGCTTGTCATCTGCAAGATCTGATTTCCATTCTTCACACGACAACAGAATCCATTTGTCAGCTGGGATGTGCTCAGCCCTGTGGACTGCGAGCGCCTCTTGTAAGGGAGCAGTTGACTGCATCTCTGGAGTGGTCAAGTCAAAGTCAGATTGCTTTAACCAAAGACCACAGCCTACTGTGGCGCAAATAATTATGATGTGATTTGGCCCAATAGCTTTGACTATGTGAAGGAAAATATATGTAAAGATAGCTACTCATCACCCACCTTGTTTAAAGGACTTCACGGTTTTGCCATTTTTTCATAGTTTCAGCTTAAAGTGCCAGATGGACAGAACCCTGTTCTTCCATCCCCTCTCTTCCTGGGTTAGCCACAAGTTGAATTTGCTTTTCTCCCTTGTTATTTCCACGCAGCTGACTCGACTTGCACCCGAGGCCGTGTCCACCGCAGGCAGCGCCAGGTGCTGCTCCATCTGCTATGCATGGGAGGGTTGTGCTGGCCATGGGTGCCCACCGTGGTTCAGAGGGGACTCCCCTATTGTTTCTACCTCAAGTTTTTAAGTGGAGCCCAGGAGTCTTCCTCCTGTGAGCGAGCGTGCTGGCGTGGGGCTTGGGGAAGGGTGGACCCGACCGCGCTGTCCATCCTCGCTGCAACTCTCTCCCAGCACGCCCAGCCCCAAAGTTCTTGATTATTCCATACCTTGGGCCCTGGTGCTACAGGTCTCTGCCGGGGGCGGGGGGGATTGCAGCTGCAGGCTCCCCTTCAGTAAAGAAAGGCCACAAACTCAGCAACTGCCACGGGTTCCAAGCATCAGCTTGCTCCCACTTTTTGTGTGCCTTCAGCCGCCTCCCTTGTTTTCAAATCGTCTTCTCCCCTAGACACACACCCGCAAATTGTGTAATTAACAGTTCCAGGAAGGTACATCCAGCTCATTTGGTCTGCTCTTACCAAAGCCTGGAACATTGACTGTTCCTTTCATTTGTGCTGAGATTAACAGCAAATTTGAAATATTTCTCCATGTCTATTAGCAATTTTCATCCATTTCACGACTTTTCTTTTCATGTAATTTATTAATTCTTCTACTTAGTGTTTGCCTTTAGGTTACTTACCTGTAAGAGTTTCTGATGTATTAAAGACAATAAGGTTAAATCAGACATGAAGGCTTACTGTGTGCGAAAACTGCAGATGTTGGCTTATGCTGACAGGCACATCACTCCTGGATGCTCATGTGGGATCGTTTGGTGGACACTGGCTGTCATTAGAGAAGGGCGGTAATGACAGATATTCCTAAGCAGATGCTCTCCGGACATATTCTGTCTGCAGTTACACCACGGCGTGACTGTTCAGTCATTCTCTGTCCTTGCCAGCCACCACCACTAATGCGCTCTGCTTCGTGTGCTCCCTGCATCAGAGGAAATAGTGCAAGGTCACTGGTACTTACTAAAGACCCCATGGATCCTCCTCATGACTCAAGTCTTGCTCTCTCTCTCTCGTTCCCAGGAGTACACCATCGATGTGTTTTTCCGACAGACATGGCATGATGAAAGGCTGAAATTTGATGGGCCCATGAAGATCCTGCCCCTGAACAATCTCCTGGCGAGTAAGATCTGGACCCCTGATACCTTCTTCCACAATGGCAAGAAATCAGTGGCCCATAACATGACCACACCCAACAAGCTGCTCAGACTGGTGGACAATGGAACCCTCCTCTACACAATGAGGTCAGCGAGTGGGCACTCCCCTCCCCCTTCTGAAATCTACCAGGGGTCGGGCTGGGCTTGAAAGCAGCATGATTGAGCCTGGCATTGAAAATTCTGTCAGGTTGAGGGCTTCCTGGCTTTACTCCCGTACAGTTTATTTCTCAATCCGTGGCCTGATAATCAGAAAGAATGCCTGGCGTCACCCTGGTGTCCCATCCCAAGTCTAGCAATTGCTGAGGAGTGACCCAGAATGTGGCCTGTTCTGTGTCAGTGCACTTGGGAACCAGCGTGTGTGCTGCAGCCTGAGGGCGTCGCGCTGGTGTTGATGAAGGCTGCTCCGTGCAAAGCTGTTGCTTGCTTGCTGCTGCTCTGTGCATGGAGCTGGAGCGTGAAGTCACCTAGCGTGGCAGTGTGTTTTCAGTCTCGCTCTCGTGTGTTCTTAACAATTGCTTTGCATGGCTGGGTGCTGTAGCATCCGGGGCATGTATGTTGTGTCCTTTCTGGCAGTGTGTTCCTTCCTTCTACTATAGTGTCGAAGTCTGTCAGGACATTTTCAGTGGGAATCTATTTTACCTGGTGGAAGTGTAACTGTTACTGGTGTGTCTGTCATTTGCTGGTCAGATTGTCTCTCAGCCTTGAAACCTGTGCTTGCCTTTGGAGTGAGATGTGTCTCCTGCCAACAGGAGAATTGGCATTTGTTTTGTGGCCAGCTCAGCCACTCTGCGCCTGGTACTTGGTAAATCCAAGCCCTTTGTGTTTAGGTGATTATTGAGACATGAAGCTGCCATCGCCATGTCTTGTGTTTGTTTTTGTTTTAGTTTGAGAGACTTGTAGATTACCGAGGGACAGCGGGTAACAGCAGCTGGCCAAGCCTGCTGCTGAGGGCAGTTGAGGGCAGGGAGGCACACGAGTGAGGGCGCTGGTGTTTCTTAGTATTAGGATGGGGACAACCGTTGTCTGACTGATGTGCCATTTCACCGCCACCAAAGCAGAAGCAGATATCAAAGAACCCCTAGAGGCGGTGGTCAGGAAGGCAACATAAGGAATGGACGTGTTGACGAGGCCACTAGGGCCACGCGTACAGCTGCGTTGCCACTCCTGCTTCGGTGGTTCTCACTCACATCCTTCAGGGCACGCGGCACTGGTGGAGACCGGGGCTGGCCAAAGTGCGTGGCGCTACCAGTGCTGTTGCTGCGGGTGGGTGATTTCTGAGAGCCAGCACGTGACTTGCCGCGTTGCTCTCTGCTGGCCATAGTGGAAGTCATTACTCAGCCAGAGTGCCCATGGGGTTCCGTAATGTGTCCCTTGAGGGTGAAGACTCAGAGGAGAGCGCCCTGGCTGCAGCTGGAGACTGTCAGGTGTGTATGTGAGGAAACAACCTTCGTGATCATAGTGCACTGAGGTTCTAGGATTGTCTCTTGCTGCATGTTAGTTCAGCACATTTTGCCTAAGAGAGCAGAGGTGTAAGAGGTTCCAAAAAATGAGCATCACCGGTCACAAAACAACAGTAGAAACACATGACGTGCAGTAATTGACACCAGCAGAGCTCTTACCAATACGCTGTGTTTATGGCCTGCAGGACAACTGTGTGGGATCAGTACTGTTGTTCTCACTTTACAGGTGGGGAAAGCGAGGCCCAGAGAGGAAGAGGACTTCCAAGGCCATGGGGGCGTCGGGCTGAGTGCTGGAGTGGGCTCCTCTCTCCGCATCACTGTTAGCTACACATTCTTACACGACTGGTGCTGCGATGGCACCAGAAAGTAACATATAATGTGAACTCTAGGTTCGTGCACACGAAAACTGGTGTGTCCTGGCGTGTCTAGTGCAGGGGCAGTTTGTAGGAGTTGGTGTGGAGGTGGTAGGGAGCGTCACCTAGAAAACACTTCTTAGGGCCTTGCGTGTAAATAAAAGGGGCTATAATAGGTACAATAGATGCTCTCACACCTCTGCTCGCATGGGCAAAATGTGCTGGACACGCAGCAAGAGACTGTTCAGAACCTCAGTGCACCACGATCACTATCACGAAGGTTGGCTCCTCACGCACCTGACATGACAGTCTCGGGCGGCCAGGGCACTCTCGTCCACATTGTTGTCCCAAGGGGGGCACATTTCAGAACCCCAGGGGTTAATCTTTTTTTTTTTAAGATTTATTTATTCATACAGAACTGGGGTACAGGCCAGAGATGCGGAGGGTGAGAGGATTCACCAGGGACAGAGCGGGGAGCAGAACAGGCAGATCGACGAAGTCCACTGCTGAGGGGAGCAGCGGGCGGGTCAGGAGAGGTCTGCTGCGCCCTGGGGTCACCTCCGGGGCAGGTGGGGATCAACTCATGCGGAAGCGGCTTAAACTTCTCAGTGCAGTGCTTTAACCCGCTGCACCACCAAGGAGGGCCCCCCCAGGGGTTAATCTTTTAATGGTGAGATTGGCCTGTGTTTACAAGGTGGCAGGAAGGGGCTAGTAGAAACACAAAGATTGGAGTTAAATGGAAATACTATTTGGCTCACATGAAGTTCCCAGAGAAAATCACAAGGGGGGTAAGAAACTGCAGTAAATTTCGCCTGTGAAGGAAGGGACTGGGCGGGGATGTTGAAAAGGAGGTAGGGACACGACAGCAGCAGCATGCGTGGCTACGGCGTGGCAGCGGCACATGGGGAGTGTGGGGTGACAGCAGACGCGGAGGAGCAGGTGGAAGTGTCTAATAAAGCTTTGACAAGGTGCTCGGAGCGTCCACTATTGGGGGGCAAGAGCGGAGCAGAGCAGCTGTGGTGGCGGAGAACAGTGGAGGGAGGTGGTTGGAGGGATGGACCGGCAACGGAGGATGTGCACATGGAAACAGAGCTGAGGGGAGTGAGGGCAGGGAAGGAAATGTGCGTAGTGGAGGCTGAGTGAAGGGGGAAGACCGCAGGGTGAGCGAGGAGAGCGGGAGGGAGGAATAGTAAGGGGCACAGCAGAGAGGGCTTGGAGCTCCAGAGGAGGGCAGGCCTGTGGGGGGGGGTGCGAAGGACTGGACGCAGGACTCGCAGGGTCTAGACTGAAAGGCAGCAGCTGAAGAACGCAGGGTCAGTCACCTGGAAACGGTCAACGGATGGGTCCCTCGTTCTCCTCGGAAGCGAATGAGACGGGTTTGCTAAGCTGCGGTGTGAGCGCAACAGCCTGGGCTGGTTCTGAAGGACAGGATGGGGGTGCGGGGTACAGGGACAAGAAGCAGGGGCTCCCTTACACGGTGCATGTGCCGCCTTCCACCCAGGGAGGTTGGTCCAGGGAGGCCTGGGTTCCACGCCGAAAGTCGTAGCCTGGCTCTGTACGTGGCCCCGCAATTTATTCATCTTGCGACCTTTGCCAGACAAATGATCTGCTTTCTCATGCCAATAATAATGCAGTTGCTGTCTGTCTCACAGACATGTGGAAAGTGCAAATTGGCTAAGGTCTGAAAGCACGTAGGGCTTGTCAGCTATGGTTCCGCAGCATTCCTGTTCCGCAGCTCCTCGGAAATCTCTGTGGACTCCATGGGAAACTATCGCCTCAGAGAAGAAGCGGAGCAAGGTGCATACCTGTTACCCAGGGCACTGGCGAGCACAGCCTTGTGTGGCTCCGGCCGGAAGCCCAGGCCAAGAGTAAATATGCGGGCTGAGCTCATCACCTGTGAGGCTAAAGCCGCGCGCCCACACCAGAGGGGTCGGAGCTGGGGAGTCCACACGCATACGCTATTTTTGTTCTCACACGTAGATGCAGGGAACTTCATTTCTGCTAGCGGCATCCTATTTAGTGATAAAGGTGTACGTGGGTATCTCCATTGTGTCACCTGTACCTCTTGGCTGTGGATGGGTTGCGATGCCAAGTAGAAAACACTTGCAGTGACAGGCTGAGCAGGAGGGTCGGGACGTCCCTCGTTTAGCTGGGTTTTCTCCCTTTGGAAACAGTCGTTCAGCACATTTTTGAGCATTTGCTATGTTGGAAACATGGGGTTACCTGCTGAGCATCCGCAGGTGCTCCTCAGCCTCACCAGTGTCGAGCCCGAGGCAGACCGGCCTGGAGAGCCGGGCCTCTCTCAGAAGCCTTCCAGGACTCGCAGCACGTGCAGGTCTCGCCAAGTTGCAAAGAGGAGGTGATATTTGTCTTGAGCCTCAAAGCTTGGAGGAAGGTGGGGGCCAAGCGATGAGGGCCAGGTTGCCCAGGAAGTGTGCCAGGCAGAGGAGCTCCCGTGTGCCAGCGGGTGCTCCCGACCCAGCGCGAGCCAGCACTGTCTCCGCATAGTGCTTGCATCTTTCAGTCCTTGCAAAGTACGTTGTGGGGACTTCATGAGGCCTGCGTTCTGGACTCCAGGGGAGCACAGGAGCTCGATGGGGAGGCAGGGGAAGGGCTGCCATGGGCAAGCCATCTGTGCCACAGCGCCACTGGGCGGGCCGTGAGGTCAGCCGCGTGGTGCCCACAGCGCATTCCAGAGGAAATCACTGTGAGGGTGGACTTTCAGAAAGTGTGAAGCAAATGAAGAGTAAAAGATGGGGGTGGGGGAAGAAGGTTCCAGAGAGAGGACGAGGTGTATGAAGCCAGGGAGCAGGGAGAGGCCTGCGGGGTGGTGGTGGAAATGCATTGAACTGAGAGAAGTTCAGGGTGATGGGCCAGGGGGAGGGCAGGAGGGTGGCAGCGGAGCGTAGTACATGCCTTCACATCTCATGCCTCCAGGACACGGGCACGAGCATCCCTGACTCTCCTGTAGAAAGTGAAGCTTACAAAAAAAAAAAGACTCGTCCCGACAGTGCAGTTACTAGACCAGTGCTGGCCTGGCAACCTGAACGGCCTTTCCACTAAGCCAGGCTCTACAGCGGGCTGGCGACGAGGTGGCCCTGGCGGCCCGGGCGAGCCACAAGCTGCTAGACGTGTTTAATAGCTCGCTCATAGTGGCGCGTTTCTTTCTCCTGAAAATTCCAAAGCCAGCCGGCTAGAGTGGCACACAAACCTTCAAAGCACGTGTGCGTAGAGGGTGCCCGCCCCTCAGCGGTAGTTTGGCCCTGGCCCTGTC